AACCTATTCTGATATCCTGAACCTAGACATCCGAAATATTTCCATCTGGAATGAATACTATTTGTTACTACCTGAAATATCAGTATAATCTCTGCTCAGTATAAAGATCTGTAAATGTCTGAATCGATAAGGAAAATATGTTTATTTGTATCTGCACGTTCTTCAGCATCATCTGGTAGTTCTGTATTACTGAGCTTTCCAAAGCTCACTCTATTACTCACATTTTCAGGTTAAAACAATTGTACCAGTGCATCTATCGACTTCAGTAAGGGAGTTCTTCCGGCGTGGTTGCAGAGTATGGTACTTGTGATTAGGGGGCATGTAATTGTATTTTGATTTATATACGAGTTTGAAAATATGTTTTATTTTTAAATAGTGATAAATGATTTTTATAAATTTACATGTTCTGATAAAAAGTTTTAAAATTTCTGCTATTTTTACGGTGGGTTGCTCCGGTGGCCCTAATGTGACTTCCCGGATCGGATCGGGCTACCCCCATCGGTCTGGGGGTTACACTTTACCCTTATTTTTTATGTATGAACAGTGAATGATATAATTGAATCTAATGAAATGAGATACTAAATCGTTTAAGCAAAGTCAGGAGTTTAAATTCTGACGTTGTGAATAGAGTAAATTATGCTGGAAGGATCGTTCCTATAATGTGTCTCTCTAATATCTAATTTGAATTAGTTGATCAATAGATCATATACTAGTGTGATTTTAAAAAAATAAACAAATAAATATTTTCACCTATTTATTTAGCAGTTTAGAAATAAATTAATTTAGTTGAATCTGATATAACAACGAAGATGACAAACTTATCACATCTAATTTTTAATAATAAAAAATAATAATATTGAACGCTAATATTCAATAATAACATTGAATCTGGTACCTTGATTAAGGGAAAAAATCAACTAAATAAACATGCAACTGAAATATAATAACTTAAACGTGAACATTTGACCACCGCTTCCTAATACGGTTGGCATAATTTTAATTTTATATATGTAAAGTCTAATTAATTATTACCAAATCCAAATATTCCAACTTTTTTGTTCCTTCTATGGTTGAAATATATAGCAAGTTATTCGAGATCGATTTAGTCAAAGTTCGGTCAATATTCGAATCAAATAGAGTAGACTCGAGCTTGAACTCAACTCGAATTCTTAGTGTACCAAAACGAGTTAATTGATACTTGACTCGAAAAACTCGCGACTACTAAAAAAATAATATATATTAAAATTTTAGATTTTTTAAATGAAATTATTAATAATATTAACATTTATATGTTATTTTTTTTAAATACAATACAAGACTTTCATGTATTTAAGGTATGGGTTTGAGATTGAGTCGAGCTTTAATTTTTTTTTATTTCGAGTGGAGCTTGAATATTTTAAATTCCCAAGCTTTCAAGTCGAACTTGATATTTTTAAACTAGCGAGTTTTCGAGTCGAACTCAGTAATACTTGAGTTCACCTTTACTCGTTTATAGCCCTAGTTCCTACCGAGAAAAATACAAGGAAAACTATCATTACACTTGGGGACAAGTGTAAAGTTTTATTTTAAGGGACAAGTTTATAAATTTTTAAGAAAAAAACTTGTAAAATTTTAGGAATTAAATAGATTATCAATATAAAGTTAAAAAAAAAATCTAAATAAAGGTTTAAAACTTTCATATGTGACAGTCCCTATTCGTCCGCTGCGATCCATCCCCATTAAACTAGCTGAAAAGTTGGTAAAATAATTGAAGAATATAGGAACTTGGTTCATATTATATGATTAATTTAGTAAATTTACACTCGTGTCATCTTCTATATAAGATCGACCGAGAAACTCTGCTTTAATGCAGGCAAAGATGAGTTGGATAAGAATATAGCAATGGCGTGAACAAAGTCATATCCACAAAGCTTTCTCCTCTTTTTAACTTTGATGCTTCTGTTTCTTCAACCCATGGTGTCATTATCATTCACAATCAAAGAAGCAACTGTGGAGGATTTCCAGCTTGATTTTAAGAGTAAGTCACTCACCTCAAGGCAACTCGTTGAGTTCTACAGGGACGAAATCCTTAGACTCAACCAGTCCCTTAAAGCGGTCATAGAGGCAAGTCACTCGGTCCCCTGTGCATGGAATCCCTATTCTGCTCAAGGACAGCATTGCAACAAAGGATCAAATGAACACCACGGTCGGTTCACTTGTTGTGCTGCTAAGATCCGTTGTACCTCGAGATGCCGGAGTTGTAGCGAAATTGAGGCAAGCCGGGGCTATCATTCTTGGAAAGGCTAGCTTGACTGAATGGGCTAATTTCAGGGGCAACACGATGCCGGATGGATGGTGTGCTCGGAGTGGCCAGGGAAAGGTGATTTGGGGGGGGGGGAACATATTTTTCATACAAATGAATATAGTTGACATTCTTTTTTTTCCTATAAATGAATGGTTAACATTCTTTATGTTATGCAGAATCCTTATAGTACTGAAGGAGGTACATGTGGGTCAAGTAGCGGACCAGCTATATCAGCAGCCGCGAATCTGGCAGCAGTAACACTCGGGACCGAGACGGATGGCTCAATCCTCTGTCCACTAGCAATCAGGCCATCGTCGGTTTCAGAACTACCGTTGGTCTCACCAGCCGAGCAGGAGTCATCCCCATTACTCCCAGATAGGACACCGTAGGGTAATATGCAAGACCATGTGTATTTTGTTTACTTATTGCTGCCCTACAATAAGACTAATATGCTCTGTTAAAATGAAACAGACCCATATGTAGAACAGTGGCAGACACCGTATACGTCCTGGATGCCATTGTAGGCGAAGATTTGAACGATGAAGCAACTATTGAAGCGTCGAAGTACATTCCAAAGGGAGGGTACAAGCAATTTCTAAAGATTGATGGTCTGAAACGGAATAGATTGGCGTTACTCGGGGATGTATTATTTAATTTCGATAAAGGATCTGTTTATAATGAAACTTTTGAGCGTCATTTCAACACGTTAAGGTATCCACATATATATAGTAAATTTGGCATATTAGTTCCATTTATTTATATATATATATATATATATAGCTTTTCCTTGACGATCAAAATACAACTGGCATCGGTGAAAAAAAGAAGGATGCGATACAAAAATTAGCAAACATGTCGAGAGATGGTTTCGAGAAATTAATGACAGAAAACAATCTCGATGCGTTGTTATTACCATTTTCATACGGTTCGTCTATTCTTGCGACGGGTCAACACCCAGGTATTATCGTCCCAGCCGGATATGATACAGAAGGGCTGCCGTTCGGCCTTTCTTTCGGAGGGTTAAAGGGCTCGGAGCCAACCCTGATTCAGATAGCTTATGACTTCGAGCAAGCTACTAAGATCAGGAGGCCTCCTACATTCACTCACTCAAGTTATTAGAGTTCGTGTAGCTTGGTTGAGACAATAGGGCTAATCCATGAATTATCATGTTGAATGCTTCATGTACCCTACATCCTTTATGTACTGCTATATTATCTAAATAATGAAGCCCTTTTCTTTGTCTCAGAATAAATTGATTAGACAATAGAGTTTAGTGTGATTAGGCTATATTATCACACTAAACTCTAGATTTATTTTGGAATGTTTCTTTGTATTGTCGATAAATTTATTTTTTTCATTAAGCGATCTTAGTTATAAAAGAGGGTGTTATTCTCCCTATAAGTTCTAGATTCAAGCAGCAACGTTTACATATGAGTGTATTATCAATGATTAAGAAAGATTTTGAACAGATATTATAAGTACCAAAAAAATATTGTTAGGGGTGGGAATTTATTTGATGTATCAATGATACCCATCTCTGTTGATTTTGATATTGAACAACAAAAATTTAGATTTGTACGATTTATGGTTTAGGGTTCATGAAAAATCAAATCAATTATAGCATTAAGCCATTAAATTGTTAACGGCGTGATGAAATGATTATCTTCTTTTCCAACTTTAGTTTGTGTATTGATTTTGTTACTATACTTTCACTTTAGGCATTAAACTTTAATTTTAGTCCCTATAACTATTCTAGTTGTTGTTGATCATCATCGGTCGACATTTGCAACAAGATCGATACCAAAACAAGCAAATTTTGTTCCTCTTTCTTTTTCTCAAATTGTTTTTCCATGAAATTCGTTCAAAATTTATAAAGATCCATTTAAAAGCTCGAAATTCTTATACTCCAATCTCCTCCAACGATTGTCCGATGAGACTATTCTCAAGGTATATTATTCGTCTTTTCAAAAGAATGCTTCTCACTACTTTCGAACAAACATCCAAAATGAAAATTATGTGCTGAAATTAAAATATTTTAGAGTCTAGTGATAAAATTGACACAAACAATAAACTTTAATAATATTTGATATAATTTACTTTAATTTTTTATTTTTTTTCTCAATGAAAGAAAATTTATTAATAAAGATCCACAAACAAAGCGCGACAACAAGAAGAAACAAAACAAAGAACATAAACCAACGCTAAAGAATAAAGCAAATGTCATCCACTACAACTAGGTGTGCGATGTAGGTCAGTCCGAGTTAATCAAGGTAAAGCCTTAAAAATCGAAAGGGCAACTAAAAAAAATAGACGAAATACAAAAAAAAGTCGTTATTATATACACAATAAATCATGTAATAATTATTTTTTATATTTTTATTTATACCTAAAATTATTAATTTTACTTATCAATAAATAAACGAATTGCTTTAAGTTTATGTATGAACATTTTCTGAATTTCTATAACTCACTGAGAACAAGAAGAAGAAAAAGCGCTGGTAAGTGAATGATGGACAAGGATCAGGATTTGTCTGTACTGTAATGAAAATGAAGCGAGTCTTTTAACTCATTACATATGCAACTCAAATAATATATTAAATGAGCATGTAAAATAATCAGAATGTATCATATATATGGTTAATTTGGTCAATTTGCACTTTGTGTCAGGTTCTATATAATATTGACCCACAAACTCTGATGCTGCAGGTAATAGCAATGGCGAGTACAAAATCATTTCCCCTCTTTTTAACGTTGATGATTCCGTTTCTTCAACCTCTGGTGTCATCTATCTTTATCGAGGAAGCAACTGTGCAGGATCTCCAACGTGCTTTTCAGAACAAATCACTCACCTCAAAGCAACTCGTTCGGCATTACAGGGACAAAATCTTTATACAAAGCCCGGTGCTTAAAGCGGTCGTGGAGATTAACCCCGATGCTATGTCTCAAGCCGATGCGGCCGACCGAGAACGAGCGGCTTTAGCGCCGGGGAAGTCACTTGGTGACCTCCATGGAATCCCTATTCTGCTCAAGGATAACATCGCAACCAAGGATAAGATGAACACCACGGCCGGTTCACTCGCGCTGCTAAGATCCGTTGTACCTCGAGATGCAAGCGTCGTATCTAAACTGAGGCAAGCCGGGGCTATAATTCTTGGAAAGACCAGCTTGACCGAATGGGCTAATTTCAGGGGCAAAAGGATGCCCGGTGGCTGGTGTGCTCGGACTGGCCAGGGAAAGGTGAGTCGGGGGAAAAAAACTTCAATTTCAATAGTCCCGGTGATTTAAGTTAGTATCTATTCAAAATTTTTGTTAGTTTTAGCTGTTAAAATCCAAAATTTCTAGAAACTATTAATAATGTACATGGAAGACATAACAGCTCAAATTAAAAGTATTTTAGTGAATACAACACTATCTTTAACTACTGATACTGATGTTGCTCAATGAATTTTGATCAACATTGTTAATGTTTTGCAGAATCCTTATAATAATAAAGCAGATACATGTGGGTCAAGTAGTGGATCAGCCATATCAGCAGCCGCAAATCTGGCAGCGGTAACACTCGGGACCGAGACTGATGGCTCGATTCTCTGCCCGTCTAGCAATCAGGCTGTCGTCGGCATCAAACCCACCGTCGGTCTCACCAGCCGAGCAGGAGTCATCCCAATCACTCCCAGACAGGACACCGTAGGGTAATATGCAAGATAATGTGTATTTTGATACTTATTACTGCCCTACAGTAAAGACTACATGCTCTGTTGAAATGAAACAGACCCATATGTAGAACAGTGGCAGATGCCGTATACGTCCTGGATGCCATTGTAGGCGAAGATTCGAATGATGAAGCAACTATTGAAGCGTCAAAGTACATTCCAAAGGGTGGCTACAAGCAATATCTGAAGATTGATGGTCTCAAAGGGAAAAGATTGGGGTTACTCAGGAAATTCTTTGATTTCACTTATGATCCTGGTTTGGGTGAAGCTTTCGAGCGTCATTTCTCCACTTTAAGGTATTAATATATATATAACAAATTTCGCATATTAATTCCATCCAATTTTTCACTGATTAATTCAATTTCAATTACCATTTTCTGCAAATGAAGTGAAAGAGGTGCGGTTTTGGTAGAACATATGGATACATCCAAGTTTATGGAAGCAATTAACGGCATCCAGGACTACGAAATTCTAGCAACCACGGCTGAGTTCAAATTGGCCATAAATTCTTATCTAGAAAACCTTGAGGTATCTTCAGTGCGATCTTTAAAAGATCTCATTGAATTCAACAACAAAACTCCAGCGGTGAGTATTTCAACTCACATTGTTTATTTTTCGCTCATTTTCCTCGAAATATCTTTGTTTGAAAGTCCGACAATTCGAACGTATGAAAATATTCAGAAGAAAATGAATGTACCTGTGTTGTATATGTACCAGAACAGATTTTTTTTTTGATGCTCGGTTTCTTGGGGTAATGCAGGAAAAAATCGAGGAATATGGCCAAGAGCGTTTCCTTGAGGCCGAAGCTACTAATGGGATCGGCGAGACAGAGAAGCATGCGATAGAAGAATTAGAAAGAAGGGCGAGAGATGGTTTCGAGAAGTTAATGACAGAAAACAACCTAGACGCTTTTTTATCACCATTTGGTTCTACTGCGTTTATTCTCGCAACGGGTCAATTCCCAGGTATTATTGTTCCGGCCGGATATGATAACGAAGGGGTGCCGTTCGGCCTTTGTTTCGGAGGATTAAAGGGGTCGGAGCCAACCCTGATTGAGATAGCTTATGACTTCGAGCAAGCTACGAAGATCAGGAGACCTCCATTCACTCGATCAAGTTATTAGTGCTACCTTAGCTTGGTTGAAGCAATGGGGCAGTCCATCAATGACCATGTTGAATGGTTCATGTACCCTACACACATTATGTACTATTATCTGAATAAAAAGTCCTCCATATTGGTTGAAGCAATAGGAACCCTTCTCGACAATATCGAATGTCCCAAATGGTCCCTATTTGATTCGATCCATATTAAAATATGCAGTGTCTCGCGTGTTTTCACCTGCAAATTAGGTTCCCATAACCATATATTATATATTAATAATTGAGAGGAACAAGAAAAAGTAGGTCGTGGATAATTGAATATGTTAAACATTTTAAAATGAGAATCTGTTGTAAACCCCAAAGGCCATAATCTCATAAAATGCAAAAACTCCATCAGCTATAGCTTTCCTGAACAATGACAGTTTTTTTTTTGTTCCATTATAATTTTCAAATGGTAAAATTTTTAGGATAATGGTCTGAGAGAGAAAAAATGACTCGAATAATGGTCAATAAGAATTATTTGCTCGATTAATGCATTTGGTACAGTAACACCTAAGTCGCATGAAAAACAATGCCACACCATTTAACTTGCATGGAACACCATGTGGCACCCATCCAACTCACACCATGCGACACCACCCAACTCGCATTGTGTACATTTGTGATGTATTTAAATAATAATCATAGTTTTTATATCGGATTGTGTACAATTGGAAGCTTGCATTCTTCAAATTGTAAAGGAGAGCTGAGTATTAATGTAGTTATACAAATAATTATTCTTTTTAATTTTATCATTAGTAAAGGAGAGGGGGAGGCGCATGATGGTCCATGCGATACCACCATGCACTCGCCAAGAGTGCAATACGACACCAAGTGTCGCTAGGATTGTAATTCGACATCGCCATGACCCACGAAATAATTTCGTCCATGTATTATTCAATCAATTTTTCTCATGTCATTATCATAAAAAATCGTCATTTCAAATTATTTAGTAAGACTTCTTTTTTTATACGGTACAAAAATAAATAATATGTCATATTAACATAAAATATATGAACTACCATACAGGCTAACACGTCAGAGCGTCAAAAATATAATATTTTAAGCTCCTTCACATCCCAACGTGATTGTGGCACGATTAGAATTATATAAGACAAGACGGATTACAAGTTATTCAAGTTCAATTTAATTAAAATTCGGTCAATATTTTATTTGAATGAATTCGACTCGAGTTCTTAACGAATCAAAACAAACTATTTAATACTTGTCTCGAAAAACTCACAAGAAATCCAAAAAATAATATATATAACCTTTTTTAAATTAATTATTAATGATATCAGCATTTATATGTAGTTACCTAGAAAAAAAATGAAATATAAAGTTTTCAAGTACTAAGGTTTAAGTTCAAATTCAAGTTTGAGGTTGAACTGATCTCGAGTTCGAGTTAAGTCTAAGAGTCTCTTGAGTTCAAGTTTTTTCGAGCTCGAGTCAAACTTCAATTTTTGGTTTAAAGTTCAAGTCAAAATTAATAATTTTAAACTCATGAGCTTCCGGGTTGTATCGAACTCAATTTTAAATTTTTCGAGTTTGAGTAAAATTATGTTACACTCAAAAACTCGAGTCAACGTGTTTACAATTTAAATAGTACGATTGGATCTTATGAATTTTACGCTTTGAATTCCCCCAATCTCACCATAGTTTCATTGGTGAGGTGAGTGACAAAATCCGAGTGAACCAAAAGAGCTCAAGCTCACGGTGTCCAATGTATTCACTGGACCTCTAATGGAGAGGGTAATTTTCATTTTCACTCCTACTTTTTATTTGTATTGTTTTTAATATAAATTTATAATTTTAATTATTTAATTATTGCTTTTTATGAAGATCTAAATAACTTTTAGTAATTTATTTAAGTTCCAACTCAATCACTACAGAGTTAATATGATTAAATTAAAGGATTAAATTTATTAAATTGAATAACATAAATTAAAGGATAAACTACACTAGATACCATTGCATTTTAAATAATATATCGTTTATATCACTGAACTTTTAATTTCTCCAATTATAGCACTAAATCTTGATTTCGATTTCAATTATGTCACTGGACTATTAAATTTTAAGTTTTTAACGACAAGATGACATGGATAAATTTTTCCGTCACTGTGATAATGTGGACAAAACAACGTTGTTTTAACGCGGCTATTGATGCCCAAAACGATGTTGTATTAGGCATTGAACTTTTAAGGGTGTACTGATTTTGCCACCAAACTATAAAAGACTTCATTTTTTTTTTGCACTAATTTTTCTAAACGTCATTAGCAGTCACTCGTCATATCAAAATGTTCGCACTTCACTCTTATTTCTTCTCTTAGAATTGGTTTTTCATGAAAATCACTCAAAATTGACAAAATTCTATGTAAAGGTTCGATGTGTTAATATTCTAATCTCCTCTTACTGTCATTCGATTAGACTAGTTTTGAGATATGTTGTTTTTCTTCTCGAAATAATGATTCTCATTATTCGAATCTTCGAATAAATCCCTCAAATCTAAGAAAACCTCGCAAACCCCTAAAAATGGAGGATTTTTTTTTGTTGATTTTAAGTGAGTTTCGTGAAAAATCAACCCTAAGAAAGAATGAGTGAAATACGAACGGATCTTGTTGCGAAAGACTACTGGTGACGGATGATAATAGTTGTTGGCGATAACCAAAAAAGCACATTGCCAAAAAGTGAATTGTTTAAAAGTTCAGTGTCTAAAACAACATCGTTTTGAGCATTAATAGTTGAGCCAAAATGACATCATTTTGTCCATGTCATCATATCGTTTGGATTTTAACGGCACAATAACATAACTAAAATCAAAACCAAAGTTTAGTACCATAATAAAAAAATTAAAAGTTCAATGATATAAATGATACATGCCTAAAATTCCAGTAGTATCTGATGTAGGTCATCCTAAATTAAATATATAACTTACCCCCTGTTATTGATCTGGTTAGGTTCGAAATTTTAAAATTAAAAAATAAGAAAAAGTTAATTAAAATTTATGAACTAAATTTATATATAATATTATGACTAATACAAGAATTTAACAAATTATACATAATAAGTTGGAAGCATTGACCTACGACTCAATGAGCAAATGACTTTCCATTTTGGTGGTCTCAAGCGGATAACGCTGACCGAGAGCGAAAGGCCAAAGCACCTGGGCGGTCACTAGGTGGCATGCATGGAATTCCAATTGTCCTCAAGGATAACATCGCAACCAAAGATAAAATGAACACCACGGCTGGTTCACTTTCGCTGCTAAGATCCATTGTACCTCGAGATGCCGGCGTCGTATCGAAATTGAGGAAAGCCGGGGCTATAATTCTTGGAAAGGCTAGCTTGAGTGAGTGGGCTCATTTTAGAGGCTATTATATACCCGGTGGCTGGTGTGCTCGGGCTGGTCAAGGAAAGGCGAGTTGAAAAAGGAAAAGATTCTTTTTCATGCAAATGAATGGTATTAGACGATTGGTAACATTTTTTTTACGCAGAAACCTTATGATATATCAGAAGCACCATGCGGGTCAAGCAGTGGATCAGCCATAGCAGCAGCAGCAGCCAATCTGGCAGCTGCAACACTCGGGACCAAGACCGATGGCTCAATCCTCTGCCCATCTAACAGAAATGCCGTCGTTTGCATCAAACCCGCTGTCGATCTCACCAGCCGAGCCAGAGTCATCCCCATCACTCCCAGACAGGACACGGGAGGGTAATATGCTATTAATCATCCTAAGCCATAAGTAATGCTAAAGATATAACTACAACAAGGGATGGATTGGGGTTGGTGAGGCTGAAAATTTCAATTTCTCAAATAATTTAGATATTTTCTGCTGATAATCTGATTTCAACCCTCAAAATATTATAAGTTCGTCCCTAACATAAAATTTTGCGGTAACATTGAATGTCTGACTCTGTTGAATTGAAACAGACCCATGTGTAGAACAGTTGCTGATGCGGTATGCGTCCTGGATGCCATTGCAGGCTTAGATTATAATGACAATGCAACCATTTGATTCAGAAAACAAGTTAGACGCCTTGCTATCGCCGTTTGATTCAGCTTCGTCTATTCTTGCAATGGGTCAATACCCTGGAATTATTGTTCCGGCCGTAGTCGGAGCCTACCCTGATTGAGATAGCCTATGCCTTCGAGCAAGTGACTAAGATCAGGATGCCTCCTTCATTCAAGCACAGAAAGCTACCAGTTCTGGATTAGTCGAAGCAACAAGGGTTAGCCATCAATGGACCTTGTAGAATGGTTCATGTACCCTAATCTTTTAATAACACGTTCATACTATTATACTATGCCATTTACATGCATTTATTACACATGCTAATCACAATTACCATTATGTTATCTTAGCTTTCTATGGCATTCTATGAGAACTTATCGATATGTGGTAAAAAAGCTAAAGTGATATTTTCTATATCCAGGAACGCCAACATAATAAGGAACCAAAAGTTACCCGCATAAGCATTTTCAACCTTTTATACATTCATCGACGTAACAAAATGTACAAATCACTCAGATTTCATCCACACATCTCTTAGGAGTTCATATCTAATAGCATTTTGGTAGTTGTTTCCCTTCGATATCCAGTTAGGCTTTGATTGAACAGATGATGACCGGAAGCCATCGATGAAGATTGAAGCCAAGGGCGAATTCAATTCATCGAGCTCGTCATCACTTGTGTATGACTTTCTGAGGACCGATGACCCACTTCTTCTCAGCTGGGATTGGCTTCCAACTTCGCCAATGATGCTAGCAACAGATGATGCTGAAGGTGGCAAATAAACTGGAGGAGATGCAGCATACGGAAAGTTTGCGACAAACCCTTCCCTGGCCTCGGCAGGATCCTGAAGCAAAATAGAAGAACAAAGGTTTTCTTCATATCTTCGAAAGTTCAAACTAGAGTTCCTTGTTTAGACTGGAAAACATATATAATCTATGTTACTCAAGTCTTGTGTGCAAGTTGGGATACTTGTGTATGTTCATTTTTTTCCTATGTTTCTCCATGTACTTGGAAGGACTTTGGAAGTTCATTCTCATGTTGATATACAAAAAATGTGTCATAATGGATACTTTAAGGAAAACGAAGAATCATAGCAACATAGGACATGATTTTATGACTAACCTCAGCCTCAAGGGCTTCAAGCACAACATCAGGAACCGGATCAGGGCAAAACTCATCCGGGACAAAATAGTCAAGAACTCTCTTGATCAATGATGGACCAAATGTTGGACAAACCTTTGAAATAAAGAAAGCACCATGAATAAACAGTAAAGCAAAACATTTCAATCTGGAGCGCATCGAAAGTTTAGGAGCCAAACCTCTTCCCTGATAGGTCTACTCAGAAGCATGTCCTTGGGAAGCATCATGAGATCACTCAATGCATTAAGGAGATGGAAAGGCTTTACAGAGGTGTCTTGTCGGTCACCACTACCACCCTGGTCGTTTTCATCATCGATACCAAATAGGTCTGTCAACCATCGAGACCAGTTTCCAATCTGATATCCACAAAAATGGAATTCGAACAAGGTTGCTTCAATTCATAAGAGAGAAACCAGAGTTAACCTATATTTACTTGGACAAAATTATTTCAATAAAAGTGAAGAGTCGGAGCAACATTTGCAGTTTGCAAACCTAGATTTAACTACAGATGGGGAATGGTTGAGTTATCAACTATGATAGCATAATATACAATGATCTCACTCAAGGATTAACCTCCACATTACCACATTTGCATTGCTCACCGGAGTGTTTTTTTTAATGAGAGCTTACCGCATTTTTCAATTGTGCACCAGCACCAAAACTTGCTTTCCCAGCTGGGATCGGAAGCACTAGAAGATCACTAATGGGGTCAGACACAGGATCAGTAGGGATCTCATCACCAGAGTCACGAAGAACAGCATTGAACATAGCCACATCAAGTCTAGCGACGCATTGCTCCATTATCTAAATGCATGATAAGGATGAATTATAACATATTTAATATAGAAGAAATAATAATAATCAATGGAACTAACATTGGTGATAGTTCCTGAAACGATGGCAAAGGAATGGTCAAAAAAATTATGAAAAATGTTGAATTATTTAGCAGTCACCAGTGTCAGAAGCAAAGTAACAGCCACGTTAACTCTTTCAGAAATGCATAATTTCATTTTACTTCAGTGCGTATGTAACACCTCTTAGTGCATAAAATAACATTATTGCTAATTAAAATGTCAATATACTATCAAGAAAGCAATTAGTTTCAGATGCCCCAATTAATTCCTTCCAAAAAAGTATTACCAATCTAGACAGCAAATGCAAGCAGCCACATTCATGCCCTGCAGCTCGAACTGGGCAAAGTCTTTCACAGGCATCCCTGAAAGCACTCTTCCAATGATCTAACGAGAATTTTTATCAAAAGTTTTTTTTTTTTTGGGGGGGGGGGGGTTAAATGTACTACCTGCCACCAGACAGACTCAATGATTCTGGAAAAGAACCATGCTTCAACCTTTTCCAGGGCTGAAGTAAGGCAACTGGGCTCTCCCAGTCACTGAAACTTCCATGAGATAAGTTTATTCTCCTTCTTTGAGGAGAGGATTCTTTCCATTTCAATGGAGATGATGCATGTTTTTTCTCTTTCACCTCCATTTCTTTCTGCGGAGAGAAATACGGAACATATGTCAGTCAGATGACCGTTCAAGTTTGTAACATTCGATGTGTAATCATGTATTTTATGGAATCTTTTTATCAAAAGTTTTTTTTTTTTTTTGGGGGGGGGGGGTTAAATGTACTACCTGCCACCAGACAGACTCAATGATTCTGGAAAAGAACCATGCTTCAACCTTTTCCAGGGCTGAAGTAAAGGCAACTGGGCTCTCCCAGTCACTGAAACTTCCATATGAGATAAGTTTATTCTCCTTTCTTTGAGGAGAGGATTCTTTCCATTTCAATGGAGATGATGCATGTTTTTTCTCCTTTTCACCTCCATTTCTTTCCATGGGTCCAGCAGAAAGTTGTGAATCCAAATCTCCAATACTTTCACTTATAATTGCTCGTAACACAACAGAGTTTGACAACCAAAATGTTAACCTGTAATCATCATACATCTGACATATGAGTTCATGAGAAGTCATAATAGTTTCCTCATTTCTCCCCTTTCTTTTCCCACCAAAAAGAATTACCATCCCCCATGAGTAAACAATCAAAAAGGCTTGATAGTTGATACAACCGATTTTTTGGGAAAATCCAGTTTCAGGTGCTGGAGAATAAATCAATTAGATAATAGAAGTATAGAAATATGAAATGTAAATGCAATCTGATGATAAAGAATGTACAGGCAGAAGAACATCAAGAACAATAAGACTCGATCATACCTTGGAACATCATTTCCGCATGCTTTTGCAACAAGAGCAAGTCCAGAAACAGCACTTCTAGCTGCACTTGCTCTTCTTGATTGGAAGCCTTCCTTACAAGCATGAAGATACAGCCTAGAAAGGCGCCGAGCTGGAGCATGCACCTTATTCCTAGAGCTCCCATGCTCAGAAACTACTGAGAAAAGAGCAGCCTCAATGGCAGCAGCATCCCTCAACTCTCCCTCAAGCGTTATTATCTTGTTTTCAAGCTGCTGTACTTTGTTATCCAACAGGGAACTTCTAGTATCCTTGGGGTATGCCTTAGCGTCTTTATTTTCATTGCTTGATTTGTTTATTAAGGTTCCAGGACCATGCTGTGCATCCCCAAGAACACAAGCTTCCTGCAATTCTGTGTGCTGGTTATTGCTAAACAACCCATTGTTCCTAACTGACTCTGATGAAGATCGAACAGACTTCACATGCTTTAGTCTATCACTTTTTAGGGCATTGGACTTTGTTCCAAGATTCACTTGGCTTAAAGAATTTTCTAGAGAATGAATATCCAATGGTTCATCTCCCGTAGAAGACCTTTTCGCTTCCAAGTATGGACCTTCATGTCCATTTTCTTGCCAATCATATTCATCATCAGCAGCTATAGCCTCCTTTGAGGAAAATGTTCCATTTATTAGAACTTTCCCACCATCTTCTCCGTCAACCGGAGAATCGCTAAAAAGTCCAGATTCCCGCTTAGCAACCTGAGGACTGTTAGCTGAGTCTGCCATTTTGGCCTTAGAACTATCAGATGTACCTTCCTTACTTTGAACATCATATGTAACCGTGGTTCCTTTATTGGCAACCATTTCATGAGCATTCTGAGATAAATCTTCATGATCATTGCTTTTCATGCTGGTCACGGTTGCATCCTGTGTATTTCCATTAGCCAAGGATGATAAAGACAAATGAACTTTATTGGTAACAACATTATCTTCTACAGGTGAAATTGTACTGTAAGACTTAGATGCAGAAGCACAAGTATCTACTGAGCTCTCAAATGAAGTCACTTTGGAGTGTTCCAATTGTGTGATCTGTGTCCCTGCATTTGTTCTTTTCAGGTGCGATTTTGAAGCCGGGGCATGTTCCTCTTCGACTTCTCCCTTGCAATCAATTGGACTGACTGTTCCATTCTGCAATTCAGTCTCAATTACTATATTACCTAGAGCATTTTAACTTACTAAAGAAAATTTGAGGTCTCCCATTAGGCCAACCATAAGACCATTTCACAAAAAAGAACGTCAGAATTTTTTTCCAGCATTTTGTAAACAAATCCACAATCATAAAGGAAATAGCTAAGAGTTACCTCTTCAATTTGAGGAAGTGAACCCCCATTAGATTCCAAAGTTGAAGAGCAAACAGTAAGAGACGAGTGTGAGGAAACATCATCGTCAGTGAATGAAGCAACCTCAGCTTCCTCGGCATACTCTTCATCCATCAGAACCGAAACAGTCTCGCTTCCTTTCCTGTCCAACAAGTGCTCTTGAGACAGGCTGCCTCTTGATGAAGTGCTGTTTTGACCCTTATAAACTCGATCAATTTTAAGAAATAAAATTGGCTGAGCAGTGTTACTAATGCTCCTCTTGCTGGTCATCGGAACGATAATGTCTAATGTTTCCTTAATAATACCACATTCCGCCAAATCCACAATGGCAGTACCTAACAACTGAATCTTTTCCCTACGCGGCTCATATAAGTTCAATTCTAAGACATTCTTCATGAAAACATCAGCATCCTTGCCTTTAACAGACACGTCCTTCATTAGATTCACAGGTAACTTAAATGACTCGTTAAACTCGACTTTCCCCTCAACAGCAACGGAACCAGGTGTAGGCGAAACAGTGTTGGTAGACCCCGAACTACGTTCACCATTTTCCCACTGAATCAGTACGGAACGAACTGATCTCAGAGATTGTGATGGGGGCCAAGGTTTAATCTCCTGAATGTGGATTAGATAATCAACATGAACCGTTGGCCCTCTCCGGCTCTTCGAACTCGAACCGAGCATCTTCGATTGACAAACAGTAGTGTCTTCAACAGGATATGTTTATCTTAAACTATTCAATCCACAAGAGAGTTCAATTCCTACAATGCAGAAAAAACTACAATTTTAATATTGGAACTTTGCATCAAGAAATAGTATAGTTAGTTAAATCCAAGCTTATAATCTTAGCAAAAGGGAAACTACCACCACTCAGCTCAGCAAAACTACCTTGTAAATCCCTAAAACAAATTAAAGGCAAACTGTTTTTTTCCTTTCAATTTTCCAGCATTTTCTAAACAACCAAACATAAGGGTATATAGTTTCCAAAAGAATAATAAGAAAGAGAAAGTAGCAAATAATAACCTCAGTCCACTAAACCACTAAAGCAGAAGACATCATTAACGTAGAAAAAGGAAGAAATGATGAAAAATAAAATAAAATTTGTGTGTATTAGCTCTAACTATTAAATAATTACATAAAGCTAATATTATATGCAAACGAAACTAAAAATAGAAACTTTGAAGTTCATTGAACCAAAAAAAAATGATTGTACACTGAAACACCCATCATTTGTTAGCATCAGATCCACCTCCTATAAACCAAGTATGCTGAAAAATGTTGAATTTTTAGCTCAAACTAGCTGAGAAAAAGCAAGGATCTTTACAAGGCTGACTCTACTGAGTCTGATCGACTGACTGATGAGAAAGAAAAAATATGATTCTTTTTATAAGAAAAAGGCATGATTAAAATATAATTTAGAGATGGCAACCATCCTCACAGTACAAAACAAAGAAGGTAAAATTTCTTAAATAATGCAATTAATAGAAAGGACTTAAATAAAGTGGTGGAGAATTTATTTGAGGCTTAAATATAGTACATATCATAATTTGATAATTTTAAAATTTTTATTTAAAATTAAAAAAAAAATTATATATTTTTTAAAAAAGAAAACATAATTTTTGAAATAACTTTAAAACTTTAAAAACTTCATTTCAACTTATTAACCTTTAATTCCGTTATTGAACCACCCTTCTCCGATCGGTGGTAGTATACACCTCCACTCTCACCGAACTCAACAGCAACCAGTGAACTCAACTTGGCCCTCAAATCTCCTGAAATCGGTCACCATCGAGCTTAATCACAAGAAAATCATTCGGTTGCCCACCTCCAACCACGACCACCGCTCGTCGGGAGTCATCACCGCCTAACACAGTGGAAGCGTCGTCCCGGACCGATCATAGCCTAGTCATCCACTCGCCTTCACTCGTTGTTGTTCGTGGTGGAGTGGCATTTAAAAGTCCGACAAAAAACCCTCATCACCGTTCGATTTTTGCGATTTCCGGTCGAAACCGCCGCCTTTCCACCTCATCGCCACCGAATCTGATCGCCGAGCGAACAAACTTGAAAGAGGGGCAGTCGAACGATTTAGGGGTTATTGGTTGAAATGAAAGTTTTTAAAGTTTTGGGGTTATTTCAAATTTTTTTGTATTTTCTTTTTTAAAAAATATATAATTTTATTTTTTTAAAATTTAAATAATTTTTTTAAAATTATCATATTGTGACACATGTCACTTAACGAAAAAAACTAACGGTCTGTCACGACGTGACCCATTTTGAATAAATGAATGAAAAATTAAGCACCAAACTGAAACGAAAAAATATTAGGCACTAAACTGAAAAAATGGACATACATTAGATACCTTTTGTATATTTAAGCATTTATTTTATCAATTAGATTGTTTGTTATAGTATAAGTAGAAAGATACGGAGTATTTAGTGTTTTTGAAAAAAAAAACTTCAGAGATTCGATGATTTTTAGATTACATAATATATTAAGTTAGATATAACATAAAGATGATGTTGCATCTTTTATATATCTTCCTTCATAGAGTTATATATTTCATACATTTTTTATAAACGTTAAGTAGGGACGGAAATAATATTTTTCATTAGTGCTAATAATTTTTTATTGTTTTTAAATACTTAAAAATCTAAAATATATAATAATTTTAACCGTAATAAATATTCTAATAGAAAAAAATAATTTTTAATACACTATCTAAATCATTTTTATTACTACATTTGCTTTTAATAAGTTTATTAAAATTGAATATTAAACTAGCTGGTATTTTTTTTACAGTGAGTCATCTTTAATATACAATTAAAAAAAGTGTTATCGATTTTGTTATTATTTAAATAATAAAATCGATAAAAAAATTACTTAAAATATTATTATTTCTACCTAAAACATCAATGTTTTTTAATATTTTCGGTAAAGTGTCCAATAATAACAAAACCGATAGCTCTTTACCGGTTTTGTTGTAAAACGCACAATAATAACAAAATCGATAAAAATAATAATATTTTCGTTAAATTTTTATCGATTTTATTATTTAAATAATAATAAAATCAGTAATATTTTTTATCTGTATATTAAAACTGACGCACATAATTATTTCCCGTATGTCATCCTTAATATACAATTAAAAAAGTGTTACCGATTTTGTTATTATTTAAATAATAAAATCGATAAAAAATTACTTAAAATATTATTATTTCTACCTAAAACATCAATATTTTTTAATATTTCTAGTAAAATGTCCAATAATAACAAAACCGGTAGTTCTTTACCGGTTTTGTTGTAAAACGCACAATAATAAAAAAATTAATAAAAATAATAATATTTTCGTTAAATTTTTATCAATTTTATTATTTAAATAATAATAAAATCAGTAATATTTTTATATGTATATTAAAACTGACGCACGTAATTATTTCCCGTAATTTTTTAAGGGGAAAATAGACAAAAACCTGGTAAAAGGAATGGCCAAAGATAATTTTGTAATAAATACGTCGCAATTTTGAGAGGTTGCCGTCGTTTTCCATTTTAATTGTGATGCGTTGTCGGTATTGTCTCCACTTGAATTTTTTCGTGGGAAGAGTTTTCCAACACGCGATTAAACAGAAAGTGAACTGGACTCCCGCATTGGATACTTTGTGGTAAATGTCACTCTTTCGTATGGTTTTCAGAACCGAATCGGTTGGAGAATCAGTCGTGCTATCGATTCATTGGTTCAATCGGTCGAATTGATTAGATCGATCGGAAGAATCAGACGACGTTATAATTAATTAATTATTTAAAAAATTAAATAAAAATATAAAATACATTTAATAAAAAACAGTTTTTTATATTACAAGTCATATTCAAAACAAGTTATAATATATATAAGTTAAAAACATAAAATCAAGTGAAACAAAATGATTCAAATCAACTATAACATAATATTTAAAGTAAAATATATTAAATAATAAATATAATTATATAACTATAATAAAAAAATAAATTTGGGGCTAAAAAATCATAACAAACGATGTCGTTTGGTTTAATTTTTTTTTAAATCCCACATGGTTAAGAAACATAGAAGAACATCACAAAAGTCTAAAGAGTAAAAATATGAAAACAAAACAATCTCACATGACTAAGAAACATAGAAGAGCATCCCAATTGACTTCTATAAATAATAGAGGTAATTTGACATTCAAAACCATAGAGCCTTTAGGTGAGCACAGAGCAAACTATTTTTTCGCTTTAATCGAGCTCGAATTTCAGGCTTCAATCGAGCTTCTAATTTTTTTTTGAGTTAGAGTCTTTTTGAGTTCAAGTTTCAATATTATATTTCAAGTTTAAGTTGAACTTGATAATTTTTAGCTAGTGAGTTTTTGAGTTGAGTTGAACTTACTTTTAAAGTTTTCGAGTTCGACTCGGTTCGTTTAACAAACGACGTTGTTTGATTTATATTTTTTAGAGAAAAAAACAGAACCGGTTTTCAACCGATTTACAATCCGATCCGGTTCAAACGGTTCACAACAGATTCAACTGTTCCTTCCGGTTCACTAGTAATGATATAACCGATGTAAAATAAATCGGATTAGAGAGCGATTCCGAGTTGAGCCGGCCTGTCCGATCCGATTTTCAAAAACACTGATGCAGTGGATGTGCGTGTGGGATTAAAGTGAAAACAAGCATTGCCTTGTATCTCAGTTGGATATTTTCCCGACAAATACTTGTTCACTTTCCAAATAACACGCTCATCCGACGAAATTGAACCCCACACTTTAGAATTGGTTTGGTTCACCAAATATAAAATTACTAAGAATATTATATTTTGTGTTTGATTCATTTAGTAAGAATGTAAGATTATACTGTTTGGTTAAAGGAATAAAAGATTATTAGAATGTATATTTTATCAAATTATCCTTATTATATATTTTTTTAACAAGTTGAATTCTACTATAATTAATTTATATATTTTCTTTAAAAAAATAAATTCATAAAATTTGTATAATTTTTTTTTTACAAAATTGAAAAGATAAATAGGTTTAATGAAAAGGTAAAATTTTATTTTAACTCCTAAACTTCATATAAATTTCTAATTATGAATTTTTTTTGTAAATCTAAAATAATTTAAGGATAAATTTATAATTTAACATTCGTAGAATTTTTTTATTCAACGACAGAATAAGAATATTTTTTTAAAAAAATTAACGACATTTTAGTCCAAAACGCTGGAAATGTAACAAAACCTAAGTGTAGAAGGAGAATCACATTTCCGATAATATAACCCAAAATACAACTGTTGGTAATAATTTATTATCGGAGGTTACGAATGTTTGTCATCCAAACGGGAGAATGACATTCCATTTCCCCAATAATCCAAGATTACATGAACCAAAAGCCTCCTTGGGTTTAATAAATTTAGGCCTAGTCACGTACTCACGTTCATTTACGTAGGGGTGGTAAACTATAAAACCGTCAAGGAATTATTGTCTTTTCTTGTTTTAATGTTGTTGATATTATTTTATTTATATTTTAATTATCGATTTCTAAAATATTAATAATGATGTTAATATAATTTTTTATATAATATTAATGTAACAACCCGGATATTTTCAAAATAATATTTAATTGAAATTGGAGGTTTTAATTGCGAAAATTGGTAAATTGTGGGGACTAAATTGAAAGATTTTAAAACTTGGAGCTTGTTTTAGAGTTAAAGAAAATTCAGGGACCAAGTCCTGAATTTACCCAAGAAAGTTAGGTATGTTATATGTTTATACGTGGTTTTCTGTTTCAAAACAGAAAACCACACTCCAAATTGCTCCCAAATTCCTTTCCCCCTACGCCGGTTTTCAACCTCGATCCCGACGCCGTCCGAATTCCGATCGTCGTTTTAAAACCACCATCGTGTTTTTTATCGAGTCAGGAACAATCCCCTTAAATTAATTGAAGCGAAACGCTGCCAAACGTTGGGAATTTCAAGTCAAAGCATCGACGTTTTTTTTTTACTCTATCGCCGGGAAAATCTCAAATTCACCGCCGATCGTTGCTCAATTTACGACACCTCCTGCACCATCGTGTTCCTTGTGTAGTTTCGAGTCCGCCGGTGTCATCCTTGTTCGCCGTCGACGGCGGCGCGTGGGGAGGTGGAGCAGTCAAAGATTCGATCGAGTTGAAATCGAGCTCTCCGCCGTTCAAAAATTTGAACCGATCTTTGTAAGTATCTCGAAATCGCTCAAAATAATTTTTAGAAATTTTTTCGGGATTTTTAGAGCCCTGGAGGAGGCCTCACGCGCCACACGCGCCGCCGCAGGGAGAGTGGACGCTGGAAAACCGGTTTGACCGGTTGACCTGACCCGACCGTTGACCGACCCGACTTTTGACACGACCCAACTGTTGACCCGACCGTTGACCGTTGACTTCCTTTGACCAGAATCTTAATTGGTTTTGACCGACCATTAAACGACCGTTAATCTTTTCCGAATATACATATCCTGATAGTTTTCGACGTGCCGAATCCGTTTCCGTTATCCGTTTTGCCAAATTCGAACCCGAAGACCTCCAAATCGACGGTCAAAGTGGTTTACTTTGACCAAGAATTTGAATTTTCGAAAAGTCATACTTTATGTTTTTCGACGTCCTGATTCCGATTCCGCAATCCGTTTGGCCAAATTCAGACTCGAAATACCCCAAATTGATAGTCAAACCCGAAAAATGCTTATATGCTTAAGAAGTCTAGCTTTGAACAATTAAATAGGATTTGGGACTGACATATTATTATTGTTTGAAGGTACAAGAGACTCTCCGCATCGTTCGACAGCTCGACCTAACTCTTCTAGATCAGTTAAACAACGTGTGCCAGTATTCACCCGTAAGACCCGTAATTTTATGATTTTAGAGATCTATTTATGTTACGCATAAGTAATATAGTGTTATTATAAAATAGGTTCGAAAACTGTAGCAAAGCATGGTGAAACCAACAATCAGTAGATCTACTATCTGAACCTATTATCGAGGTGTGTTCCCTGTTTACTACATAATTGTTTTATATGTTTTGAAATATGGCACATTGAAATCTATGGTTTACTGTTTATTGATTCACCGATTTACTGGTGATGATTTATGGACTATGATGACTGGTTTATGATTATTGATTTTGGATTGAATTGAATTACGATAGTATAGCTCTGATCAAGCTAATAAACGAGTCTAATGTGACTCTTGAGGGCCCCAATATGCATTAGGTTGGTTTCCCTTGCTGTGTGCTTAGGGTAAGCTATATGGACTTGGACTTGTGGGCTTAAGGATATAAGCTCTAAAGCTTATCCTTAGGTTGACTTTCTTTTTGCTGTGGGCTTAAAGTAAGCTATATGGAAAATAGTTTTGGAAACTACTGATGGTGTACAAAAAAAAGGGTTTAAACTATGATTTTCAAAAGTTAAACTCTTTTATGAATTTATGAGATTTGCTGGACTATGATTTGTTAAATGTACCTATTGTGATTGTAAGGTAATATTGGGACACACTGAGCCTAGCTCACCTTTCGAAAATGTTTTCCCCCTTTCAGATACTGTTGGTTAGATACCTCGGATCGAGCACTTGGAGGATCAACATATCTCTTGAAGTATATCTGATTGTAATGTTTTATCTTGCAAGTTGACTTTATTTTGGTGACATGGACCTTATTTTTAAAGTATTGGATTTTATAGTGTTTACACTTTTGCTATTAATATTCGGTTTATCGTGATTTTGATTTTTAAGACATGTTTTAAATTAATTTATTACTTATTGGTATTATATTTATGAATTGGGTTTTTGATAGTATAATATCATGTCATTTATAATGTGATTTTACATTGATTGAATAACGGTTTCAGTAAATGTCTTTAAGAATCATGTATGTGATCTACTAAACTTAGTCGAAACGCATAGGCCGGGTCTAGGGGGTTACAATTAAAATTAATTTCTAGTATCTATTAAAATGATCGTTTTAACTTAAATGATTGAGAATCTTTCAAATAATAATTACCGTATAATCACTCTATACCAATAAAATAAATCTTGAGCCTAGATTTATGTTCTTATATGAATCCCCTTGAACATGTTATTGTTTTAGAAAATATCTTATATTAACTACAATTTAACCTATAAGTATTTAATTTTAAATACTACTTATAATCATTTTGAACCAAATCTTATTTGAATCCCTTTGAATTTGTTTTTGTTTTAAATACTATCTTATAACCACTTCAAATTATTCAAAGAAAACTCTATGTAAAAAATTTTCAACTATAAATCAAACATTAAAATTGATTTAGTGTTAAGTGCAATTATAAATCAAAAAATGAAAGTAAAGTGATAACTTAGGAGTAATAATAAAGTTTAGTTACTAAGTTTGTAATTTACCCTTGATATTATTGTAACCTTTGAAATGAAAACTTGAGTGTTTATGCAAAGATGTTTTTGGACGAACAAGCCCATCCGAAGCCCACCGACCTTATTTTACCATTTTGTTGTACTTGGATTTTGGATACCCATCAGTTCCCTCTCTCTTATCGGCTGCTCGGCGGCGAGGAAAACGGCGGTAGCTTCGCAAGAACCAGGGTAGTCTTACATCCTCTTTTTTTTTTTAATTTCCATTTTCACAAAGGGTCGATTAGCATAGACTGATTAAACCCCAGTGTGATGCTCTCGTAATTTGAAGATTGATTGTCCGTAAAGCTCTTGGGTTGTTTTAATTTAATGAAAGATTGAATATTTTCAGCTGTTCATTTTCGAAAGCTTTTAGTTTTCGCTTGAGTTACTTGACTTTTCACCATGAATCATACGCGGCATATCAGATATGATTATGGGATATAGTCCTCTAATTTTCATTCAAATTCATGAAGAACTTGGAAAACACATGTTCTTTTACTCGCGTTCCAATCCGATTAATGTAGGTTACCACTCTTGTTTAAATGGTTCGAACCGTGTACATTGGTTCTTGATTTCTGCTCGTTAGTTAGTCCCCATTTGCTTGGACTAGATGATAGAATGGATGTTTTTACTTCTTTGAGAATCAATTTGAATTGTCTTTTGCTAATGCCATCGAGATATTCTGTTGGTTCTAGTGCCATTTCCATTTGCATCATGCAACCGAAACTAAATGTGGGTGTAATCGAGCTGAGTTGAGCTTAAGTTGTAAGAAACTCAAGCTTAATCGAACTTCACGGCTCTAAGCTTTGTTTGAGCTTGATTGAGTTTTACTTAAAATTCAAGCTATATTTGAGATAGAAATCAAGCTAGCTCACTCGGTTAAGCACATTTGTCTAGTCAGCTCAATTATTTGCACTTGAGCTCAAATGCTAATGGGATTTTTCAGTATTGATTAAACCTCTAAAGCTCAATTAGGCTTGTGAGCTACTCAAGTCAAACATTAGGATATTCTAATTTGGCTTGCTTGGTAGCTCGATCTTTTTTATTCTAATGTTAAGTATGTTCAATTTTAGAAAGTTTTTTCATCTACTCGAAAAGTCTTTTGAGCACCATATCTGTATGCTTATGTCTAGGTATGCTTCGAATGTAAATATTTTAAGGAAAATGAAGGATTTGAGCAATATAATCTCTCAAGCTTAACTCATAGCAAAATTTTGATTCTTCTTTTTGGTTGAATTGTGTTGTTTAGGCATCAACTCTTGGAAGCTAGTTTTAACTTTCAAGCACCTTTTTGGGTACTAATTTCAGCTTTCACTTCCCTTGCACCAAGCCATCACATCTCACGCATCGCCATAATCAAACGCGAAAATGGCGAGCTATCTATGGAGAAAATATGCAGATTATGTTTACAACAAATGGGAAAGAACGCTTCTTTGGGACATGTTAGAGCCTTACCGAAGAGCCAAATCTTTTACGCCTCTTGTTACCATTTATATTGCAGCTTTTTACACAGGCGTCGTTGGTGCCGCCATTACTGAGCAACTCTACAAGGTAATTTCATTTCTGTTGTTTCCCTGGATTTCCTTGCACTATTATGCTAAAGGGTTTGCCTTTCTTTTTCTAAAATGTTGGAAATACAAGTTTATTTGAATGAGTTTATTGAGTCATTTGAAATTCTTGGGATTTGGAGTTCATACATGTAAACTGGAAATCTATGTATTTGGGGATATGACATCTAAGGATATCCTCCAAATACATAGAAAAACTTAGAAAAATCTAGCCATACCTGTGTCGGATACATTCCCATATATGACACTTACACCCGAGTTCGAGTAACATAGCTGGACATCACAGTACGAAATTTTGAAATACTTGCGAATTAATGTGTGTTGAAGTTTTTGAATTGCCAGTAGCTTAATTCTCAGTATATGGTAACTGTATTTCGGCAAGCTACTATTAGGCTCCGTGGCCCTGATGTATAGGATGTATAGCAATCTGTGTTTAAAAAATCCTATCAATCGGTTTATTTTCGGGCAGGCTGACTTGTCCAGTATAATATTTCAACCTGGGGGGATATTGAACTGGCCTAAAAACCACTTTATTTTCGATTTTCTGAATATACAACATGTTCAGTATGTTCATCCAATTCATGAATGAAGAGTGAAATATACAACACAAGCAATTCAAACATATTGTAGAAGCTCATTGAATCCATGTTGTGCTATTGATCAGGAAAAGTACTGGGAAGATCATCCTGAGGAAGCAGTGCCGCTCATGAAGCCGAAATTTTATGGTGGACCTTGGAAGGTGCTCAAAGGTGATGTCCTCCCACCTAATGAATGAAAACCGAAAGATTTTCTCGAGGAAAATGATGCTCGGACTAGTCATTTTTCTTTTGGTACTTACGTTTGACCCATCAATGTCGGATATATATACTCATATCCAATGTTCACATCTGAATCAAGTAATATAGGTTTGGTATGCATATGGAAAGCAATGCTCTTTATCTATATATAAAGTGACCGATTGAGTTGACGCTACAAGTGAATCGAACATCAATTTAGTTAATAATTTTAAAATATCATACTTTATTCAATAACATCTTATAGTTAATTTTTTTAATTTAAGTTTATTATATGGCGTCTTTTAAAAGAACATCCGTTATAAAAATATCAATGGAACTTTGGTTTAAGTGGTAAAATGAAGATTTTTGAGAACTTATATTAGAAACTCAACTTATGTGAAAAATATTATTGGTTTTCCTATTTTTTAAAAATAAAATAACTATAATTTGTTCTAAATTTTTTAACTTTTTAATAAAAGGGTAAAATATGTAAATAGTCCCTCAATTGTTAGGTTTTTTTTGTTGAGTTTCTCGTCAGTGAAAAGTTATAAAATAGTCATTTAATTTAAAAAAAATTACAAGTTGATAATTTTTGTTGTTGAAAAGTTAATGGTGGATAATACAATTAATAAAATTGGTATAATAAAAACTTAGTCTTTAATTTTTACTCAATGTTATGATTTGATCTTAATTCTTAAAAGTTAACCTTCTATATTTTAAAATTGCATCAATTTAGTTTATCTTATAATTCATTTTCATCATTATCGTCTTCACCATTATCTTTCACCACCACACGGGTCGCCATTCCTTCACCATTACCGTCAGCCATCACGGTGGATTGGAGTATCAAGGAACATTCGAAAGAGAGATTTTTGCTTGCAATTCATGAGTGCAATGAAGGTTTGTGGTTCATAGTAAATCACAGTCATCATGAAGATGAATATATAGACATCGAGAAAGGGATCAAGATTGGAGTTGTGATTTTGTTTTGGGTATAAGACTTGGGCTGAAATTGAACTGATACATGTGTTATATAATGTACAATGGCATATTGGGACCGAAATTAAGAAACTTCAATTAAAAAACACCTTATAATTAAAGGATAACTATCCATTTTTCTATTTCTTTCCTGCCACAAGTAATAGATGAAATAATTCCAGGTGAGTCTGGTAATGATGGAAGCTGGTGACTTCCCCCTACCATTCCACTGAATCCATTCCAACACTATACGAACCGTGCTGCATCAACAAATGATCTCTACTATCCTTACCCCCATTACATAACAAGGATATGTATCAACTTGACATCCTCGAGCCTTCGATCTGGTTTTCGTCGGGAATCTATCATGTATAGCCATCCATATCTGGGAATATTCTCATAGGTAATGGGTGTTAAAGCAGTAGAAATCACACTGAAGCCGTGGTTTGTAGGCATGAATCAGTATAAATACTATGAAACATGGATATTCACAGTAATCGTCATCTTTTGCTGTCTTCTGCAAATAAATTACTTGAACAAGGTAAGCGTCAAGACTTAGATTTCAATGCATATAAATCATACTCTTACCTTGTTGTCAGTTGAAATAAACATAAGCTAACCTAATTTACTCACTTGAATTGCTGATAAACAATAGATTTGGTGGACAGAGGATGAGAAACTGTGCTGTCCAACTCCCCCATTTACCATTGGAGTTGTGTTACTAGTTCTAACACTAACTATTTGGACAACATTGCAAATTACTCATTTTTAAATTAATTACTTTTCTAATCATATTTTTCAAGCTTATATTCTTAATTTACATATGTTTATCGGCTCTAGCTTCAAGTATTGTTGTTTTCTTGTTGCTACTAAAAGCTTAAGCTTTTTATTATTTTGTTGCAGGCTTTGGACAAGTTTAACACTGCTTTTGTATGTCCTGTTCACTGCATTCGTCCTTAATGCCAGCATGATCATGTCATGTTTAAAGTAGGTTTTCTTAAAACATTCTTACCCACTCTAACTATAAATGCATCGAGCTATTCCAAGTGATTTTTACAAAGAATTGAAAAGTCATCAATAGTATAAGAAATTTCTTCCTTCTTGTACTATCTCTCTCAACCAGCCAAGAAAATTCATCGTTTTGTCTTTCTGATGACTACTTTGATGCAGTAACGAAGGGGCAAAAAGACTGGAAATTTGCATGCAATTCCAAAGAGAAGAAAAGTCTTGTGGAATCAGAACTAATTTCCACCGATTGTGTGGTTGTGCTCATTCAGTCCATCTCAAACAGAGAAGAAATTTGCTATATATCTTTGTCTGTTTAATGACTTGACTTAAACAGAGTGGTGGGGCTTAAATTTCATGGAGTGATAATAGGGCAAAAAGACTTTGACATTTGCATGCAATGCCAAAGACTCCCTACCAATACATGCACACAAAGGTTTTCCTATAAATATGTTGTCTATACAAACAATCTTCCTTCACAGCCATAGCCAGCAAACATGAAGAATCTCCATTTCCTGATTTCCCTCTTCTTTCTCTTCTCTTACTTCCTTTCTCTTGTGTTTTCCTTTTCTCCTACTCAGACTCATCTCCCAAAACAATATTGCCTTGATGACCAGAGATTCTCTCTGTTGCAATTGCAGCATGATCTCTACTATGCCCCAAATTTTACTTTCACTTCCAAATTTGAGTTGTGGGATCTCAACACTGATTGTTGCTCTTGGGAAGGTGTTACCTGTGATGATGCCATTGGTCATGTCACTGGCCTTGATCTAAGCTACAAAAACCTTTCCGGGACCTTTCACTCCATTTTCGATCTCCATCATCTTCAGCACCTTAACCTTGCTGGAAACAATTTCAACACCACTCTGCCTTCCTATGGGTTTGATAAACTCCCAAATCTAACTCATCTCAACCTTTCAAGCTCATGTTTCCATGGCCAAATTCCAGTGGAGATCTCATACTTAACACGGTTAGTTTCTCTTGATCTATCTTATCAAGATGATTGCTATCGGATAAATCAGTATTATGATGATGATTTAGCTACTCTAAAACTAGAGAAACCAAGCTTCAAGACATTGATCAAGAATTTGAAGTTTCTCAGAGAGCTTCATTTGGATGGTGTAGACATTTCATCTCAAAATAGTAAATGGTGTGAAGCCACATCTCTAGTACTTTCCAACCTACAAGTGATGAGCTTGGCAAATTGTGGTTTAAAAGGTCCATTATGCTCTTCATTCTCAAGACTTCCTTTTCTTTCCAAACTTATCCTTGATGGAAACCCCATCTCTTATCTACCTTCCAATTTCTTGAAAAATTCCTCCCATTTGATTTCTGTCCGTTTAGTAAGTTGTGATTTGAGTGGACATTTTCCAACAGAAATTCTCTTATTGCCAAGAATTCAAAGCATTGACCTTTCATATAATGAGCAACTTATGGGTCAGTTTCCAGAATTTCCATCTAATAGTGCTTTACAGAGTCTCTCACTTTCAGAAACAAATTTCAGCGGAAAGTTACCCGAATCAATTGGTAGCCTTAAGTTTTTGACAGACTTAACTCTTGATGGTTGCAATTTTTTTGGATCCATTCCATGTTCAATTGCAAATCTTAGTCACCTGGTGAAGCTGGATCTATCAGATAACAAATTCAGTGGTTTGATCCCTCCCTTCCATACATTTGGAGTTCCAAATCTTGCATATCTCAATTTGGAATCCAACATGCTTTCTGGATCAATACATTCTTCTTTATTTACTCTTCCATCATTGCGGACCTTGTCTCTCATAGAAACCCAATTTGTTGGGAAAATTGATGAGTTCTCCAATGCATCTTCTTCATTGATGGAGGAATTATATTTAGGAGATAATTATTTATCGGGACCAATCCCGAAGTCGATACTTCAACTTCGGAGGCTTGAAGAGCTTTATATTTATGGCAATAGCCTTGGTTCTATGAAACTTAACATGTTCTTCGAGATAAATAACTTAAGGTTTCTTAGCCTATACGACATAGGCTTGTTAACTGAAAGTGACAACAAAAACCTTACTTTTCCCCAGCTGGACACATTGCATCTAAGCTCATGCAACCTTACTGAATTTCCAGAATTCATCAAAACACAAGACAAGTTGGTTGAGCTAGATCTTTCTAACAACCATATCCATGGTGTTGTGCCTAACTGGTTGTGGAAGGGCTCTCTTTCATGGGTAGACCTTTCTTTCAATCCAATTGATTTCCCAAAACAGGTTCCCATAGGTGATGCAAGCTTCTCTTTTCCAAAGCTGACAAATTTATATATGAGCTCCTGTAACATAAGTGCATTTTCAGAGTTCTTAAGGAGTCAAGAAAATTTAGTTGAACTCGACCTTTCAAATAACACAATAAGTGGTGCAATACCAAACTGGGTGTGGAAGAAAAGTTTGCGTGATCTGAGACTTGCTAATAACCATCTCTCATCTTTGGACCAACTTTTACCCAACCACAGTTTAACTTCTTTGCAAGGCTCCTTACCTTCACCTATTTGCAATATGAGTAGACTTTTCCTTTTTGATGCATCTTATAACAATTTGAGCGGCCTCATTCCAAGCTGCTTAGGCAGTTTGAGTGCTCTCACTTTGTTGAATTTGCAAGGAAATAACTTTGTTGGAATATTACCAGAATTTTCAAAAGCAAACCAACTACAACTTCTCATAGTAAGTGAGAATAGATTAGAAGGGAAGTTGCCAAGATCATTATCGGAATGCACTCAGCTTCAAGTTTTAGATGTCGGAAACAACACTATGCATGATACATTCCCCTTTTGGTTGGAGAAATTGCCTGCATTGATGCTTCTAATATTGCGATATAATAAATTTTATGGTCAAATTAAACCTTTCAAAAGTAAAATTGTTTTCCCATCTTTGGATGTGTTGGACATTGCCTCTAACGAATTTTCTGGCGAACTATCCATTAATTTCTTTCAAGCCACTCAACTAAGGTCACTCAAAATAGGTGGGAATAAATTGGGAGGGAATCTGCCAAGATCGTTAGCCAATTGTACAAAACTTGAAGTTTTGGACCTTGGAAACAATATGCTTCATGATACATTCCCGTTTTGGTTGGAGAAGTTGCCTTCCTTGAAGGTTCTCATTCTGCGAGCAAACAGATTTTATGGTACAACTAAAGTGTTTGACACCGAACGTGGTTTTCCAATGCTACGCATATTGGACATTGCTTCCAACAACTTTTCAGGTTACTTGTCCATTGAATTTTTGAGAAGTTTGAAGGCAATAACAATGCTGACTGATGGTGACAAAGTAAAGCTGGATTACATTGGAGACGAGAACTATCAAGACTCTGTGACAATTGTCAACAAAGGGGTTGAAATGTTTTATCAGAAAGTCTTAACCATTCTCACTTGTCTTGACCTTTCCAATAACAGCTTCCATGGGAGAATACCAGAAGAAATACAAATTCTCAAGTCACTCAAAGTGCTAAACTTATCCAGCAATGACTTCTCCGGAGGAATACCATCAGCACTTGACAACCTAAAAGACCTCGAGTCTTTGGATCTCTCACAGAACAAGCTCTCGGGGAAGATTCCTCCACAGCTTGCAAGTCTAACTTTCTTGGAAGTATTGAACTTATCTTACAACCAACTTGAAGGGAGCATACCACAAGGAAACCAATTCAATACATTTGCAAATGATTCTTACCGGGGGAACCCAAAATTATGCGGAACACCATTTTCAAGGAATTGCAATGAAGTTGGTCTTCCAATGCCACCTCCTCCAGGGGAAGATGAAGAAGAATCATGGTTAGATGTTATGTCTACTTGGCAAATTGCTTTGGTAGGCTATGGAAGTGGTTTGGTGGTTGGGATATGTATTGGATATACAGTGCTGAATGAGCTGGGAAACAAATGGGTTTACAAGTTGACAAGGCGTGGGAAAAGAAATAGAAGAACTAGGTGACTCCATCAGAATTCATGATTTAAAATCAGTTGGTTAGCATTTCCTTTTGAAACTAGACAGGTATTTTCAGCCCCTTTTCCCTTATTCCCATGAACTGGTGTGTAGTTGAAAAGCCAATTTACTTTTGTTTCTAATGATTTATGTTGCAAATTATGCCAGCCCGCATTGCATTGTGTTGTCGGATTCACGTTGTCCGGGAAATTGCAAAATGGTGTAACAACAACTAATCTGCTTCCTACTCTAACTCAGATGTTGAGAAAGCTTGGAGTTGAGTTTCATGACGAGGTCTATGATCATAAATCTCGAACACGGTATGTTTTACCATCAATAATATCTGTTTTATAGGAATTGATCATCATTTTAGTTACTTTTAATGTTCATATAGGAGAGGGTTTGGCAGAATTTATCTGTAGATCATATATTGCTACAATACCTTAAGATAACTGGTAAACGTGATGAGCAGTAAGTGTTCTCTTTCCTTCTCGTTTGGCATGTTTGAGAAGTTATATCATCTGTAGTTTGACTTATGTTTTGTAATGCGAACAACAAGATCGTTTCCGTTATCTTCTCGATTTCGTTGCAGGGGCCAAAATATCTAGTGTCTTGGCTGCCAAACTCAAGAATCAAGATCATAATGGTTATATATATACAGGTGACATTTTTTGGTACTGTATATGTCTATATTTGAAATCATAGATTGTAGGCAACAACTTCAACCATTATTCCAAAGTGAACTTACAACATAATCTTGTAGGCGATTGGGAGATAATTAATGTCATTTGAAGACATATGATGATGGCTATGCTACGCTTCAATTCACAAACCATTTGGGGGTAATCTTTCTCTGCTACTGCAATTTCATTACAATAATGCTGTTATAAAACAGATCATGGAGCCATAAGGTGCGCACATAAAATCTTGTATTACCATTGGTAATAAGGTTTTCAAGTATTTGATTTTTACATGTCTTATAATTCACTTATTTAACTTCTGCAGGTGACAATCTCAGTGACAACATTGAAGGAGCAGAACTGGATTCTTCACGGATTGCTGGCTTAAAACCGACTTCTTAATTTCTCTCTACGATCGTTTTCACAGAGATGTCCGTTGGTATAACACTGAGTCGGGGACCCTAAAAGTCCGTTCTTGGCTGGCCAAGCATGGGTTGGAGGATAATTGAAAATGGAAGCCCTGTGCTCGCTGTAACACAAGATGGTAAAACATGATGGCCATCAGATGTTCCGGAAATCCAGGTTTGTTCTAACATGCATATCAACTTGTTTGATTAATCATATCATCGGTGATTGATGAACATTGCTACGTTCTTTACAGGGGAATGCCTGAGAGGGAGACTGTAGATGATCCAGTTGAGCTTAGACGGGAAAGCGAGACTATACATGACGAGCTTGCTATTCAGCACATGGGATCGACAATTCTATCCGGAACTTGAGAAGAAAGGTTACCACATGCTGCGGGTTGATGTCGACACCAAGAAAGGTGGTCTTAAAATAAACCCGGATTTTTTGTCGTTTTCGGAGCTGAACCTGAAGGCCCTCGCCTGGTTCATGAGATAAGATATACAGGTGGTGACTGCACTTCAGATATTTGGATTTAAGCAACTCAAAACCAGTTTGGCTATGAAGAAATCATCCTTTGTAATTTGTTGGAAAAAAATGACAAATAACAATCAATGGAACCATATGGTCTACAAGCAATTATGATCATTGTTTATATGGCCGGGAAGAATCAATTCAATGACTTCAAAATTCAATAAAAAATAAAGAAAACTCCATCGGATGTAAAATGATTAACTTTAATTTTAAATTTTAATTAAAAATTTAATTTCAATCTGATTTAACATGATTTTTAATTTTAATTTAAAGAAATAGATGTAGGTGACCCCATCAGAATCCATGTTTCAAAATCATCATGCAAGTATTTTCTTTTGAAACTAGAGTTCTGTAAATTGCTAGTAGGTCGAGCTGGGAGGCTTAAAGAGGCTTATAATCTCATCAATTCTGTGTCAATGGTTCACGACGTAATGCTTCGGAAGAGTTTGCTTGGAGATTGTCGAATTAACAAGGACAATTGCAGGGATTGCATTGTTATCGAACTTCTATGCCGTACGCGAGAGATGGGATGATGTTGGTAGTGTGTGGAGAACCAACTGTGTTATAATACTGACAAGTTTGGCGTTTGATTAGTACAAGTGAAGGATGTCATCCAATACTAAATAAACTCAATGAACATTGAAGGCAGTTTAAACACAAACGACTCCGAAGAAAACACACCAAAAGCCATAGATTTTGCAAAGAAAAAGAACCCAAAATATAAAACAGCACATATTGTATAGCACCCTGGAATTTGTCATTCAGTGAATGTTTCTTTTTCCTTGAATTCTTCGAACCAACCTTGTAACATTCCTCTGCCAATCTCCTTCAACCCTTCTCACAAGCCACCATGGCCTTCCAGTGGTGAACACGATGTATGCAGTGCTTATTCCTACCACAACTCCACTTCCATAACCCATCATTACAAGTTTCCACAAAAAGCTTATTGGAGAACCTTCATCGTCTTTCCTTATCTTTTTTGCAGGAGATTTCGGCCCCTCTCTGTTGCCGCATTGCTTTGTCAATGGGAAGCCACATAATCCCAAGTTCCCCTGATACGAATCATTCTCAAATGTGTTGAATTGCTTTCATAGGGTATGGGTACCACGATGTTGTTCTGTAAAAAATTCAACACTTCAAGAAATGTCAGGTTTGTCAACTGGGAAGGAAAACTGCAACTGAGCTTGTTTGACGAAAGATCCAATGATTCAAGTTGTATTAAGTTCCCCAACGACTGTGGAATATGGCCGGTGAAGCTGTTGTGAGACAGGTTGAGCATTTGGATTGCATAAAGTTCTCCAATCGCCTCGGGGATGTTTCCATGGAATCGATTACTCTAAAAATCAATGGATGTGAAAATGAGTAACGTTCTCGCTAGCTCTATCCCCATCTCTGATCTTTTTGACGTTATATTCACAGAAATTTGACCATCTTCATTAAATGAACCAAATAGAAGTCTACGGGGCATGAAGGATGGATGCATTATGCTTCGTACATCCTTGAGAGCATCCAAATTTTGGAAAAATGTTGAAGGCAAGGAACCAGTAAATTCATTGTGAGAGAGATCAACAATTTGTAATGATGAAAAGGATGATTTAACATCTTTGGAAATGTTCAAAGGACCATGAAACCTCCAAAACTTGCAGCTCTGAAAGAACACCCTACTAGTGGGGAAAGGTGCCACTGAACTTTTTATTTGCTGAATTTAAACTTCCTCTAGTGCAATACTGGAAGTGCTAGCTCATTCAGGCTTCAATTCACAAGTCATTTGTGGTAATCTTCCTCTAGTACTCAACGTTCATGGTAAAAACCAAATGATTATTTCAATTAAAAGAATCTTATAATGACTAAGTTTTTACAACAAAAAAAAAATCTCTCTTTGTGCTATCAATCTATCCATCTCAGCCAGCTAAGAAAATTCACACTTTTGTCTTATAATGACTATTTTCATGCAGTCAAAAAGACTTGCACATTTGCATGCAATACCAAAGACTAAAGACTCCAACTAATAAAAATCTCATACCATCATATTTTGTGTCTCCGAAATTGGAACTAGTTTTCTCCAAATAATTGAAAATTTGTTATATATTTTTGTCTTTCAAATGACTATTCTTAAACAGAGAAATTTCCATGCAGTAAAGAAGGGGCTAAAAGACTTGGACATATGCATGCAATGCCAAAGACCAAGACCGAGGGCAATAACATCTCATTCTGTCATTTTCTTTTTTGGTCCAAAATTGAAGTTAATACAATACAAATTTTCAATTTAAAATGTTTAACAAGAGATAATGTAAGTGTGGCCTCGAATATAAATCAATATTTTCTTAGTCACCTGGTTAATCTGGATCTATCATTTAACAATTTAAGTGGATCAATACCATCTTCTTTATTTACTCTTCCATCATTGAGGGTCCTGTCTCTCACTGCAAATCAATTGGTTGGAAAAATTGATGAGTTCCCCGATGCGTCTTCTTCGTTGATTGAGGAATTGAGTTTAGGGAGTAATTATTTATCAGGACCAATACCAAAGTCACTCTTTCAACTTCCACCGCTTGAATTGCTTTGTATTGGAGACAATAGCTCTAGATCCATGAAGTTTGACATGTTCTTTAACCTCAAGAACTTAAGGATTCTCGACCTATCCAATAAAAGCTTGTTAATTGAAAGCGAGAACATAAGTCTTACTCAATTTCCCAAACTAGGATTCTCGGCCTTTACTTTTAGGCGCATGTAACCTCACTGTATTTCCAGAGTTCTTAAGGAGTCTAGAAAATATAGAATTTCTCGACCTTTCAAATAACAGAGTAAGTGGTGCAATACCAAACTGGGTGTGGAAGAGAAGTTTGAGTTATCTGAATCTCGCTAATAACCATCTCTCATCTTTGGACCAATTTTTACCCAACCGAAGTTTAACTTCTTCTTCACCAGCTCCTTATCTAGACCTATTTGTAATTTGAGTCGACCTTGGAGTTTCGATATATCTCATAACAATTTGAGTGGCCCAATTCCAAATTGCTTGGGTAAATTGAGTGCTCTCAATTCCTTGAATCTACAAGGAAATAATTTCAGTGGAATCTTACCAGATTTTTCAAAAGCAACTGAACTGGGGATTCTAAAGGTCAGTGGGAATAGATTGGAAGGAAAATTGCCAAAAATCATTAGCGCAATGCACTAAGCTTCAAGTTTTGGATGTGGGAAACAGCATAATGCACGATATATTCCCTTTTTGGTTGGAAAGTTTGCCTGTACTGATGGTTTTGTGTTATGGTTGGGCGAGAAGAAGAGAAAATCAAGAAGAGAATGAATTGGGAAATTCGGGGAATGAATTAGGGATTGGAAAAGATGAGATTTTACCTGCTGATGAAATGGAGACAAGATGAGATAAGTTTTGGGTCGATACAAGCCGTAGCCCAACAGAGTGGAAAATTCCTCGACACCTGCACCGAAGATTGCAACCGTTAGAAAGGATTGTCAGCTGTCATTCCTTGTTTGATACATTGTGAATGAATAATGCATTGTACTAAGAAAAGAGAGACATGAAATGAATGAATGAAGTCTCAATTTCTCTTAATCCCTTTCTTCTATTCTGAAACCTTTCTTCTCGATAATTCTCTTTTCTACCTGAGCTATAACATTTTGATATTGAGAGAAAACAAATTTTATCGCCAAATCAAACATCCCAAACATAAACTTGTTTTCCCAACTCTGGATGTGTTAGACATTGCATCTAATGAATTTTCCGGAGAACTATCCGTGGATTTCCTTAATGCCACTCAACTAAGGTCGCTCAAAATCGGTGGGAATAAATTGGAAGGGAAGCTGGCAACATCATTAGCCAATTGCTCAAAACTTGAGGTTCTGGACCTCGGAAACAATGTTTTATGACGCATTCCCGTTTTGGTTGGAGAAGCTGCCTTCCTTGAAAGTTCTCATTCTACGAGGCAACATGTTTTATGGTACAATTACAAAAGAGAAAATCGCCTCAGTGACCAAAAATGCCTTATAATATACGATTTTAACCAACTTTTTTTGGATTTGCCAAAATGACCAACAAAATCGCAACGCGAAATAAAAATCGCAACGCGATCACCAGAATCGCAAATCAGTTTCCAAAATCGCAACGCGATTCTTGAAAATCGCAATGCGATAGTACAAATTCGCATTGCGATTTTCCAGAATCGCAACGCGAATATGAAAATCGCAACGCGAACACATAAATCGCAACGCGTATCCGTAAATCGCAACGTGTATCCGTAAATCGCAACGCGTATCCGTAAATCGTAATGCGTATCCGTATATCGCAACGCGTATCCGTAAATGGCAACGACAATACGTAAAATTGCAACGCGTATCCGTAAATCGCAACGCGATTTTTAAAGCGCCATTATAATCGCTACGCGTATTTTATTTTCAAATTACAAAAACGAATATTAAGACAAAATCCCGTAATCGCAACTCATAACCTAAAACCTAAAATCACAACTCAGTCCCATCTCCATCTCTCACTCTCTACGGCGAAATCCGTCCCCATCTCCGAAGATTTCCGTCCCCATCTCCGGCGAAATCCCTCACAACCATTCACGGTCAGAAATCCCTCACAATATTCAGAAATGGAAAATCAACCTCCGAGGGTTAGTTTTTTTAATTATTTTTATTTTGAAATTTTTGCATTATTGTAGGTTTTTCATATTGAAACTGATGATAAGTTTACTGGTCATTTCAATAATAGATTAACCATTTCACTTAGATTTCATTTCGCGTTGCGATTCTCTCGTTGCGATTTTCATTTCGCGTTGCTATTCTCTCGTTGCGATTTTCAAGTTAGTATTTGTCTTTGTCTTTGTTCTGTCTTTTGGTTGAAGTAATGCAATCCATTCAAGTTTCAATTTGCATAAGAGTCGCAACGAGAGAAATGAAAATCGCAACGTGAAAATGACTATCTGCAACGAGAAAAATGAAAATCGCAACGAGAGAATCGCAACGCGAAATGAAAATCGCAACGAGAGAATCGCAACGCGAAACCAAAATCGCATTGCGATTTTCATTTCGCGTTGCGATTCTCTCGTTGCGATTTTCATTTCTCTCGTTGCGACAGTCATTCTCTC